AAAAAAATTATATCAAACAATGGAGCACAAAATAATGACATCTGCGCGTTGCCGCACCTCGACCGATTTATTTCGTTTTCACACCGCATAACAAGTGCTAGGTTGTAGGTAGCATAATATAATATATATATATATATATATATGGGATAATGAGTGTAGGTTGCGGTCAAAGTCCGATTGACGGTCAATCCCAGGCTTAACCACGGTTAAACTTACGATCAACACTGTAGCAGATTTGTTAAAGTACCTGTATTATATTAGATAATATAGGTATACAAATATTGTTTTTTACAAAATATCGACTGATACTTTATGGTCACCATTTATATGTATAATAAACTGGTATATTATATCTGTTCAGGGGGAACTATAACTACTAAAATATGCTCAATGATTTCTATTGAATTAACATAGCAGCACTGGTGTAGAGCGAGGATGGGGGGAGGGTAAAAATCCAAAAACACTCGAACTCAAACATATAATTTTAAAATTCCTTGTGTGGGCAAATACTGCAAGATTATTAGGAGGACAAACATTGTCTGATTCAATTCAGTATCCACCTATACTTACACTATAAATGATAACTCTGATACCTTGCCGTAGGATTAATTCAAGAGAAATCAATGGAAATTGGATAACATTTTTAAGATTCTGAGAAGAACGTTTAATGTATTGATTTTGCAATGATATGTGTATTTTTGTGTCTCATTTCATTTGATGTCAGTGAAAATGCTTCGATTTTCCAAAATATTATCTTAGTATAGCAACTAGTTATCTAAAAAATTTTGTTTTTTAGTGTAAACATAAAAATATAACATCAAATATTCAAATATTATGTTCAGTGAAAACGAATGTTTATTTTAGCAATTTCTATGCACAACAACATTTTCATAATATTGCGATTCTTTTTTAGCTAATTATAGGTATAAAAAAATTACAAGTTTATTAGTTGTTTTAAAATAATTGTCGATTAGAAATTTCCTGTTTTGTTAGTAAACTTGAAAATGAATATTAAAAAAAGTTGAGCGTAGATCTTCAATATTTTTTTATAAACGTCTGAAGATATTTGACAAAATTTATCAAAATCATAAAAATTAGCAAATTATTTCGAGTTAGAAATTCATAAATGTCGTTCTGTTTATAACTTATCTTTGAAAATATCAAACAAGATTATCCTTATATTTTCCAACGTTTAATAAAAAAAAAGGTTACCGGAAAATTAATCATATTAAACATAGTATAGACAATATCCATCGATATTCACCTGTAAATCAACAAATTATCATAAAACGTTTTTCTTATTYTGTTGATATTCAAAAACTAATAATAGTAAGAACTTGAATTTTCATCAATCGTTAATTTTATCATTTTCCATAAATGACACAATTTCCAAAATATTTTAATTCGTTTTGAATAATATTTTCTTTTATTTTTTATTCTATAAATATCAATAAAAATTCGTAATTAAGATTCGTTGGATACAATAAGGTTCCTTATAAGTTTTTTTAATAGCAATTAATAAAAATTAAAGTTTCATAATCATGATTTTTGTATAAGTATTTAAAATTCAAATTTTAAAAAATTGTTCAAAACCTCAAAATTTTTTWAATTAATATGTAGTAAAAAAATTCCTAAACTCTTAAAACCCTTTATTTTCGCTACATGATTAAATCGTTACCTATACCTATTATTTGTTATTATTGCTTTATAATATACGCACGTATATCATATCAATATTGAAAAGAATTATTRATATTAAACATGTTTTAATGGCAAWCTTAAAAGTCAATAATAATCGAAGACAATACATCATGCATTTTAATGTGAACAGGTGTTCCTCGACGATGTCATCGTTCCTCCACCCGTACAGTACCGTCGATCAGTGTCGCACGGCCAACAGCAGCAACAGCATCATCAATGTTGTTGCGGACCGTCAGCCGCTTGCCATAAATCACTTCCGGATCTCACGGATGTCGCGACAGTAKCTACGGAATTGATTACGGATGTGGCAACGCCGGCGGTGGCAGCTGGTCCAATCCGCCGTTGCCGTCGTTCCGCATCTTCGGGATCTGTGGCTGCTGGAGACGATGATGACGATGATGGCGAGGATGACATATTTGAAACCTACTCCAGTATACCATCTCCGCAAGGGTAAATCCGACTCAACAATAATTCTGTATAACAGGGGTGGCCAACCTTTTTTTATATTGTGCCAAAAAAGGTTTACAGTGTAGATTGTAGAACATACATTAATGGCATATGCCCCTCCCGAATTGTATGCTCCTGAACGTTCCTGTCTAAATTTTCATCAAAGCTTAACCATATACATCCAACCTATATCGGTCTGCGTGAATCGATAATAGTTATAAATTAATATATTTGTCGAGGTTCAAGTCAATAAATATCGAGGATATTCGAAGGTTAGGTTTGGTTAATAACTTGATAGGTATATCCGATTATGTTCCTATGCACTAGAGGCAAACTTAATCTTTAAGGGAGCGGCTCACAAGAGGTTATATTTATTACTATTTACAATTAAAAATTAAACAATAAATATTATTCTACAATCTATTCAATTTTTTTTATTATTGTTTTATTGTATAAACCATAACATATAAAGGGTGTATCACGAAGTTCTGACATATGATACATATGTTCATATCGTATATATACCAGAACTTCGTGATRCACTCTGTTTATAMTGTGTTCAACCGTTCAACGAGAGAACACGTCGATTCTGCGCATCCTAACCCTGCAATCGAAACCGGTTCTCTTATGGTGAGATATTGCGTAGGGGAACCAGTAGGGGTGACTCGTGTTCTCTCGGTGAATAGAGTATAGGTATAGTTTACTTTTATAAATTGTATTTAAATAATACCTTTAATTATACCAACAACTTAAAATAAATAACTCATGTTTACGTATTTTTTATAAACATTGGTCATTTCTTACCAACTATAATTTTCTTTTCCTTCAGATTTGGAAACAAGTCCAGACAAGACGAAACGGACGCAGTCGCTAACGTAACCTCTTTCCCGGATTCATTGAGCCTAACCAGTTACAAAACGGATGCCAGATGGCAACAGTCGGTAAGACATTTTTATCCACTTCTTTACAACGTATTTAATATACCTATATAATATACATTCACATTATACTTTTCTAACTATATATTTCATTCACACACAGCCGTGATTATTATCCGTCGTTATACTAGGAACGCTAAGATTATGTCACATTACTGGTTTAGTTTGTTTCTATTTTTTTTTTTTTATTATCCCATTCAAATTTGTTCTTATAAAAAAAAACTTTGACGCATGTTTCGCATCTGCTGCTCTGATGATTTCATTGAAGTCAGAGCACTTTAAAACGTGTGTATGCGAAACTGAGAAAATGTTCATCTAAAATAAAAAATAAAAATTATACAATGTATAAGTAACAATTGAATGGCAGTATAAACGTCACTGGTTCACCGTTCAAATTCATCAAAAGTATTTGAATACCAGTCCATAGCTTATTAAATTATAAGTACAAATGTTGGCATTTATTTAATTTTAGAATAATTATGCGATGGCTTTWAAAATCACTAATATATATATTATGCATTTATTATTTATAAAGAAATTATTTTGAAACTGCCTATAAATATTCAAAATAGTTTCATATAGACTCGTTTTTTTAACATAGTAGAGTGCGTTTTAAATACAGTTATTACTTTCAATCATAAAATATAAATACAGAGTGATTGATTTATCATAAGACACTCATTATTTCAAAAAGTATTGACTTTTTTCAAAATATTTTTTTACATGGTTTCAAGTTGTTAAAAAACCAACGTTTTTATTAAAAAATTATATTTTTGWACGACAACATAGAGTTTTAATTTCATATTCCAAAGCAGAATATTTTTCTAAGTATTTTGATACATAKAAATCGAATTTGGGGCTAGTAGTTTCTGAGTTATAAGTATTTAAAGTTTAGATAGACAAGCGGAGTAGTGGAAAAACATTTTACSGGGTAACCCGGGGTCTGCCTATCAAAACTTTAAATAAGTACATACAACTAAATATAATTAAAAAGAACTCTTCATTTTTTTATGTATTATTGGGTAATGCATGATATTTAAATTAATTTTTTATCTTAACATATTTAACATCTTATTACATACCAACCTACCGAGGAATAAATTATATACCTGTTGGCTGTTGGTTATGAAAATAGTCTTAGAGATACAATAAATKGTATACGTATTACACATGTAAATATTTGGATACTATATTTGAATGTTTTTACTAAATTATTTTAGGTAGTTTTAAGGTTTTAAGGTTGTACAAACAAAATAAAATCATTCGCTAGAATTTGATTAAAATYCAAACACCGTAACGAATTTAAATAATTGTTTTTTTTTTTTTCATAATATATTAACGGAATACTTATTATTATTATTTTTAAATATGTATTCAAGTAAATACGTCTTATTACGTAGTATATTTTACAATGCTGCAGTATTAAATATTCAAGCATTYCAAGCTATATTTTCCTGTGAAAGCAACTTGATGTACTTTGATATTTGCAATTAAATATAGTTTTAAAAATAATAGTTATATAAGCTACGCGTTGTAATTTAAGAATAATAAAAATAATAAGCATCACATAGCGATCCGTATCTATCTACCTATCTATATTCATAGATATAGTTAGCATACTATATACACATATCTTAACAGACACATCGATGTATTATTATACCTACAACGTATACGAAATCGTAAAACGTAATAAAAAGAAAAATATTTGGGAAAAATCAAAACTAATCTATCTATTATTATTTATAAACATATTATATACATTATGCGATGTATGACGTTCTTTGTTTTAATACCATGATTTGCTCGATATATTATACGCGCATTTTACATAAAAATAAAACCTATACACACGCAAGATGTTTATAGATCTTACAATATATATCTGCTGTGTATCTATATCGTAATATTCATATAATAGTGGTCGTGTACGGTTTTTTGAACGAAAATAAAATACACACGTATTAATAGATAATATACGAGTATATTATAATATATTGCATTAAAAACAAGTTGTACGCGTATGCATATATGCGTACATATATAATAATATGTTACGCATAACGTACAATATATATATATATATATAGGTAAGATTAAAAGTCATAACATAACATAATATATATATATTTTTTTAAAGGCACATGGAGGGACCGGAAGTTCGATCGAAGAAGAAAATGACGACGAAGGCGGTGATGTATCACCGCGTTCGTCCGCATCGCCCGTCAAGTCTACCGTGTCGCATGGCCGCCAGCGTCTACAGACAGTTGGAGCAGCGGCAACGACTGCAATCGGTGGACACCAACCATCGCCGCCTGCTGTTCCATTACGTCGACATCAATTGCCGACGGCGACCGACGAGTTTCGCGGTCGACCGATACTGCGCAGCAAGTCGGACGTTGGTCACAGGGCACCCAATTTGCTGAGTCTGTTGCCGGTAGCGGTGGCTAAGACCGACGATCGACACGAATACGATCCAAATCAGTTGGAGAACTTTTTTGGACATCTAGGCCTCGATCCCGACGAGTACAAGTGAGTCAGACATAACAATTTAATAATTATATTATAGTAATGTAACACATCGCCAGCTCACCAGCAACTGCAGGTAACGCGCGTTATGCGTTATACTACAGTGGTGCAGCAAGAGACGAACTCTAATGGGGGGAGGGGGGTTACTAAAATTAGTTTCTATTTATAAATGTAATAATATATCAGTAAGAGGGTAGGAAAAGCCCTTCGTGGTTTTTCATGTAATTTACTAAACCGTTTGGGATCAGTGATTCGTGGTTGGGGTTGTTGGTTTAAAACTGATATATACAGAGAGCGTGTTATATACATATATTATGTATATATAGCAACCCCTAAACGTGCTAGCAGGTATACTGAGTACGTTATAATGTTATATATATATTTATACTATCGTGGCTATTTGTACGGTGTAGTCTCACAAATATTCCTTTATACATGCTGTATAATATAGCTACCCCACATGAATTTTGCATAATTTTTAATTCGTATATTTGAATTTTATACATAATTTATTACCTATTTATTTACAGCCATAAAGCAGATATTAATAATCAATATTAAAATATGAGCATTATGCACATTAAATCAATTATTACCTTCATGATTAATGTCCTTAAAATATATTGCATGGTGATATATTATATATATAGGTTAGATACCATCATCATGTAAATATTAAATATGAATATTAAAATAATATAGGTAATATAATATAATGTTATGCAGCCTATATTTAATAAATAATATCGAAAATGTTTAAATTTAGAGTGCTTTGCAAACTCATTTGTCTTTTTATAAAGACTAGACCGGCTGCATCCCCCTAATAAATATAAAACTTTAAACCCTGAAACTTACAAATATATGCATTTATATATATAGGTACCAAAATGACCCGAAATTTATGACTAAATTTTCTGTTAAAAGCGATGATGTTTTCCAACTTTCAATTATKTCGAATCACGAAATCTATATTCTGTGGGTACCCCTACATAAGTTACGTATTACAGACACGTGTTATTACAGTGTTATTATTACCATGTATATTTTATACCGAATATAGGTAACTTACTTATTATATTACACTTAAAACTTACGGCGAACCCTAAAGTTATCAGAGATGCGCCGCGCTTTGTACGACAATAGCGTACCTACTATAGGCTATAATGTAAATTATACTCTATCTATATGACTATATGTCTATGTCTTTTTATACTTACGATATATGCGTTCAAAGGCTATATATGTCAATTTCTGTAATTCATTGACACAGAAAAATGTACTTCAATGAAAAAAAAAGTAATGTTTTTTTACTACGGTGGACGTCTCTACTCTCTAAGTACATTTTTCGTGTGTGTACAAGCCATGTATGGAATATTTTCTTCTGAAAACTTCGTCGAGATATCATATTTTGAACACTGAATACAGTAGCTACCTAATTTAACCTATATTACAAAAAATATGAAAAATCGTAGTTAAATATATTATRTTAATATAGTGCTTTATTATAGGTTAGAACCAGTCATTAATTTATCGTGCATTTTGATACTTATAAATTTAAAATGAAATATAAAATTTGGTACCTATTTATTAGACATTTTATGTATTTATGCAGTCAAATTGAAAATAACAATAAATAACGACGTCGACGTTTCGTATAAAAATGATTTTAACGTGGCCTGATTGCATGTCAAGTTGTGGTCACCGATCTCAAAAATGTCTTGACMTAAATTACCTWTACCTAAACATTCATTATACATATTTATTTGAAACGTTATTTAATGTCAGAACACCAAAGTTATTTTTCACGATGAGAGTAATTTTTCAAAAGCTACTACGCGGGTATATTATAAACTTATCTTTAGGTATTGTACATACCATTTATTAAATATTAAAAGCAACCTTTAATTTATTTTTTACTGCGACCACATTATTATGATGACAAAAGTATTTAACYACTATACATGAAGTTTTCAATGCCATTATCAAAAAATAAAGATAGTATGCTTTTAGAGAAAAAAATAATATATTTCTCTTTTCGGAAAAAACTCTTTTATAAATAAATCACTACCTACATTTTTATAAAACTACTTAACTACATAACTATTTATACATAAAAAAGTATATTCTAAAATACTAAATATAATTTACAAAAATTCAAAATTTGGAAAACTATTATTATTTGTACTTATATAACTGTATGCAGTCTGTATATCACGTATTGATTTGTTTCCTCTTAAAATTAACRAAAACTATCTGACATATGTACAATATCAATGCTAGTAAAGTGCCTGAGGAGAATGGGGAGAGGTTAAGGGTTATATCCTCTGACAGTTTATTTAAATATTTATTACTTATTAGTTAAAAACACCCCCCTCTCTTGAAAATTCTTTGACTCTCCACCGATTAATTCAATAAATTAAAATATATAATTATAATATATTAATATCAWATTGATAAAATGATAATTTCAACATTCAGTAATCTCGTTAGTAATGTGTTTAATAATTCAATTGACAATTACTATAAAAATATTTGCATTACTAGCACTTTATTTTAATTTTATATAATGTGTAAGAATTTCAATAATTTTAAATTTTAGAAACCTGTAAGTACATATGTATTTATAAATTATAATACTACGCTCTTATCGGATCTTGCACAATACTAAATACTATACTAGATTCAATAAGAATCGATGGTTTAATTATAAAATAATAACTTCGTCAATAGCGAATTGCGAATATAATAGTGAAAAATTCAATAAAATACAAAACCAAGGATTTCTATAAGTGTGAGAATTAATTAATATATTTGTCATTGTTACTAAAAAACTAGTGTCGTTTTGAAAATGAAAATATTACCAACTCGACTGTTCGTAATTTTATGTCTTACTCCCTCTACAAAATACAATGAACAACACCTTGTTAATAGTTAATGTCATTAAAATTGTAGCTCTTCCTAACTTTTCCTGTTAATTGATACTAATGTATATTGTCAATAACAGACTTAAAAATATAATTCACATTCCCGACTCCCGAGAGATAAAATATATTATATACAATGGGTCTTTATAAAATGTATGCATATAGCTTTATAGTTTATACCATTAATCTTTTATATTTCATGTTAATATAATTTAATCTTTCTACTCCATAGTTTATATACTACATATTCCTTTCATGTCGACAAAACTGTATTCATATAACACGCATTATGTAAAATAATATACTATAGGTACTTAACTAATAATAATATAATATTCAAGCACACTAGTGTGTAAKATTAAATATAATTTTAACATTTATAAAATTCTGTTATATTTTGTTAATTTGTTAATAAAAAAAAGAATATTAAAAAAACATAGTTATATACACCACTGTCTAGTGTCTATATAATTAAGTAGCCATTTGATCGCTGTAATCGAATAGTAGGTAATAGATATAGGTACCTACATAATAATATAATATATGAAGTAACTATTATAGACATTTCGATAGTTTTTCTTTATTATACGTTGCAATTACGAACGAAGCTATATGCGCCATGTCAAGTATTGAACTGCCGTATTCTGTGCGATTATGCCCTAGTTATCGCAACCGTCGAGTGTTGACATGCTTTTCATTAGAGTATTTGCTTTTTTATGCGTTYCTCATGTTAAAGATGATTTAGATAAAAATTATCTTAAAACTAGTGTAAACTACTCATTAAGCATTACTCAACGGTGTTATACTCTTTGCGTTAATCATTTATACTAGCTGTATCGTGATTATAATTTAATCCGACAAGCCTTATTAATGCGTATATGCGCGTTTTGCTTGATGCTTACCTATACCATTAAAACGCACATACACTCGATTCGCACACTTTTATTATTTCCTTTGAACGAATTCTACATATATTGTTATATAAATATATAGGTAATGCAAGACATGAGTATACATATTATATTGTATAGTGTACAGTGCATACCTTTATGGCTGTGTAATGTATATATATATAATGTTAATGCATATAAAGGTGGTATAATATCTTTTTTTTAACCACAATAGAATATTCCGCTGTAATGATACAAATCCTTTTGTTTCGATTACGGGACGACGCCTCATTGCCTTGTATTCACCGTTACAGCTTATATAGTAGGTGGGTATTATTTCGAGAAAAATCCATTATCGTTATATATTATTATTCATTTCAATGTATACTTCATATTTTATAATATTGTTATATTTCTTATTGTGCAGCATGATTTGTATCTATATATGTATTATTGCTAATGATATTTATTCTATATAATATTTGAATAGTCTGAGAAATAAAACCATATAAGTACAATTGTACAAGCAATAAAGGCAACTATTCTAATTAATATCTCTAAGAAAATTCTCCTTCTTTCCATCCCGAAATGACCACATCTTACTTTTGTTCTCATTCCTTTAAACTTTCGTTAAATGAATTCTTCTTTATGCACCCTCAATAACAACTCCTACATGAATTGTGATATCCTCCATCTTCTCTTCGATCAACCAAAATTGTCAACTTAGTTGACCAATATGGTAAGATACCATTTTCAACTCTTTAGACGTCCATTTCAAAGTTAAACAAATTTTTTTCTTCCCAGCAATAAAACATTTTCTTCCCATTAATTCCTTCTTCAATCATATTTTCAGCGTTATTTAAATTTTTCTAATTAATGTAATTACCTCCCTCCAGCTATTCACTGCAGATGATAATCATAGTAATTATTAATTTTAAATAGTCTAAATAACGATACTAATAAATAACAACAAATCTATGTTTAACTATAGTTATAAATGTTACTACGAAACGTCTTATRGCATTGTAGTACTACTATTRTAGTATAGAATATTCTCTTATTATTTTCATTTTATTATACATAGCATACAGCTATACATGCAAGTATAGGCTATATATCCGAATATATTATGAAATATACACTATATGCTTAAATTATACAATATATTTTATCGATACAATAGGYGGAC